AGCTACTCAGGAAGCAGAGATCAGGAGGATTGCAGTTCAAATTCAGGCCATGCAAATAGTTTTTGAGACCCTATCTCAAAAAAGCCCAACCCAAAATGGCTGGTGAAGTGGCTTGAGTGATAAGAGCACCTGACAAGTGAGCATGAGGCCCTGAATTCTAACTCCAGTACTGCCAAAAAAAAAAAAGATACTGTGGAATGTTCCACATGGGAATCCAGTCATTTATGTATTTGTTTATTTAAATGAGCAATAATAATAGGATGGGATGTGTGTGTGAGTCATGGAAAGAACATCTAATCAAATTTACCAGGGAACACAGAAGACTTCTAGGGAAAGCAATATTTAGCCTGTGACCTAAAGGATGATTAGGACTAGAGAGAAAATGAAGGGAGGAACAGCAAATAGGACAATGTGATTCAGGATAACACAGCCCATGACAGCAAAAAGACGTAAGATGGCCCCAGACACTCTGCTCCGTGGAAGTGTCACTCAACATCAATACACTGCTTGGTTTTCTGGGTGTTTCTGTGCACATTGGGGTAAACTATCATCTTCCAACAGCACTAAGATCATTGGATATCATTTTCAAAATAAATTTTAAGAAAGAAAAAATCATGGCCCTTATTCAGATATGAAATGAACAGATGCTAAAATTTTTATTTATTAAAGATTATTAATCAACAAGGGAGCCAAGTAGTTATAACCAGTTCAAAAGAGAATCCACACAACAGGCCTTCTTACAAATCTGGAACATTGAAATGAATGTGCAAATGGAGACAAATGGGTTTTTCTGGGGGAAACGAGAGGAAGGAAAGCAAGTTGACCAATCTATGGGCAGGACAGAATTTGCATGTCTATAGATAAGAATTATTTTGCATTGCTATCAATCAACTACAATTTACAGAGTTCTCCAATAGCTCAGAGATTATAATCAGATAATCTGAGTTTGTCCTCTACACATGCATAATTTTCTCTTGAACTTTTTCTTTACAAGGCCAACCAGTCAAATCCTGCTTTACTTTGTTTTGTTTTTGGTTGTTGTTGTTGTTTCATTGTTTTGTTTTGTTTTTTTAATCCTTTGGCCAGGACTACTGATGATTTATATCTAACTCTTCTGTGCATACATGATAAATTCAGTAAACTAAGCAAGTATTAAGGACTTGAATAGTAACCATTGTAGAAGAAATTAAAATGTGATAACTGTCTTTGCAACACTAAATAGAACTGAAGATAACTGAAGAAATTTGTGTCCTATGTTCAGTTCTACCCCACATCCCACCCTCATTGTCGTTGCTCTGTTACTGCTTTCATCATCATTATTATTCCAAGGCCTTTCTTTAGCAAACTCCCTGCAGATTCATGGGAATTCCTAATTTACAACAGGCACATTGACTCAGATGAAGAATTTTAGGAACAACAGATTGGGTAAATCTTTAGTCAGAAATCATTAGATTTCTCTGGTCAGATCGAACAGGTCTGGAGGTGAGATTGCATAAGTTTTATAATAAGGGGACCCCCTAAGATGTGTGTAAGGTGGGAGTGTCTCTCCCTTGCTGGACTTGCTCCTTCCCATAGGTATGGAACCACTAATTGTTTGAGCAGTAGTTAATTCATAAATTATGAATAATAATTAGTATTTGTGTTTGTTTTTATGTGTTTAGTATTTAGTTATTGGTTTATTGAAGGGAATTATTAGAACAATTAATTGCCAATAAAGATTAGTAATAACTGTCTAGTCACAAATCCCCCGCAACTGTTAAAGAACTGTTGTAAGCCACACTCATTTGTTCTTTCCATTCTTGAACATCAGGACACTGGCTGCCACCAGTGTTTCTCAAACTTGCTTGCTTTCTCAATTTCAGAAAGTACTACTAGGTGAATTGAGCCTTCTGTGGGTTTGTGACATTCTAGAAGGTACTTTTTGGCTTGGCCCATGGTCTAGAGAAAAGACTTTGAGGAAGCTCCATGAAAGCTGGGGATGCTGGGAAAATGGTCCTGCTTTCCAGGCATCTGGGCAACAGCCACTGCTCTGTCCAACAACTTGTTCCCCCAAGTTCAGGCTGCACAGGGGGAATTCAGTGTAGAATGGAAGGTTATATCCCAAACAAGGCACTGAAATCTTAAACCTCTTCCAGAAGAGTCTTGATTAATGAATGGATAAGCAGATAGTAGATTATTAAGGGAAATCAGGGAACTTCCATGTGCATATCTGGCCTTTCAGGATGCAAACACTGGACTCTCCCGGTACCTTCCCTCAGGGCTGTGGTCAAAATTCTTGGCTAGTAGCCCTTTGTCTAATCTATGATGACATTTCTGGTCTTCTTAAGAATATTGTACCAGGAAAGGTCATGCTAGAACACCCAAAAGTGCAGGTGAGCTGTCTCAAGGGGCAGTCTGCTCTGAATACAGCCCAGGACTCAGGGTTTGAGCTAGTCAAGCATATCCCACCAAGCCCTTCACCACCTGCTAAATGCAGAGTTTGGTATGGGCCATACTAATGATGGTGATGTCCAATGCAGCAGTGGTGACACACTGATCTCTTTTGTCTCAAGATAAGTTCATCAAGGTAGTCAAGTTCCAGATGGACAGTCCAGAAAAGCTCCCAAGAGTCCAAGCATAGGGTAGTTCCCAGAGATTCTGGCCTTGGCTAACCAGACTCACACCCCAAGTTATATAGCACGACTGAGGGGTGTTCTAACAGCATACTGTTCTGTAATTCAGCATGGCCTTTCCAGAAGAGATACATTAGGTTCAGAGCACAAGGATTCCCACAGTCTTCCTCACTCCCTCTTCCTCATCTTTTCTTCCCTTTCTCCTTCTTTCCTCCTCCTCATCCTTCCATCTTTCTTTTTGTCCCCAGCTGTGCCTGACTAGCCTTCTCCCTGAGGCATGGATGACCCTGCCAGGACTTTCTGTGTGTGGAGGGAGGGAAGGCATGTTAGTGAGAGTTGAAACTGCTCCTTTTCTTCTAACTCTCTCAGGGGCAGAGCCCACAGCCTTCTGTCAGTAAATATACCCAGGGTTGTAGGGACCCTAGCATTGATGGGAAAGCAGAGAGGGGCTTTTGAGTCCTCACTTTCCTGTCCGTTATAGTCACTGTTCTTAACCAAGGTTTGGGGCCAAAATTGGTGCTTGCTTCAGTGATGGAAACCCCAAGCTTCAAAGCTAGGTTGGTGCAATACAGGGCGGGATTGCGGACAGGAAGTTGTGTGGCTGTGTGGGTGTAAGGGAAGGACTTCCTCCCTCTCTGACACTTTCTATGCTGAGGGGACCTTTCTCAGCAGCCTCCCTTCCCCCTAGCCAAGCAGGCAGACACACTAGAGGCTTCATCTAAATGCCTGCACAAGCACCAGTGTGAACACAACCAAGTAAATCAAATCCTCAGCAAAGTGTCTACGACCCTCCTAGGAAACCATCATCACTTCTCAGGTTTATACAGTTTTACTTTTTCAGAGTAGGAGTAGCTCAGTGAATATTTGTTTTTCAGAACTCCTGAATCATCTCCAGTTATCTTGGAGGGCACTTGACCCCCAAAATCCTGGGTTACCCTAGTTTTGGTTCTCTGCCTCCTAAAGTACTTCTTTAACGTCAAAAACAGAGGCAGCCTGGTCTTCCCTAAATTCAAGCTTAACCTCAACGAATGCACCGCATTCAAGAAGTCCTCTGAGTTCAGAAGCTAATTTGAACAGAATTTTGTTGTTGTTCTAGTTACATAGCCCAGGCTAAACGAAATTCTTGATAATAAACAAAGCAAGCTAAGTGAGTGGATCTGGGGATATTAAGCAGACAATTGAAAAGACTTGTAGATTAGCTTGGGAACACCAGGAATAAATGGGCAGCTGTGTGGTATAGACCTTTATTAAACAGGTAAAGACAGGTTGAGAATCACATATGAAGGGAAGATGGTGAGATTAGAGGATAGCTTGGAACAGGATGCACTGTGACTCTTAGGGACACTTAACGGGGAGTTGGATGTATAGGTCTGTGCTGAGGAGAGAGCTGGGTTCTGATTACGGGATGGGAGTTATCAGCATAGGGATAGATAGGGACTGAGGCTGCCAGAAGAGGAACTCTTTATCCTGAGAAGTAGGGGGAAAGTAAAGGAAGATAAAGCCTGATATATGATCCTTAGAATTGCCAGCCAGAGCTTTCTTATGCCCTCTAGGTGGGTAGTTTTCAGGAGGAGGTGGGAATAAAGGATATATCCTATCCAAAGACTGACAGTCACCAAACACAGTTCATTCCTCCATCCTCCAGCACTTAGCCAAATTTCATTTCTCAACCTTCAGTTACATGGCCATGTAACTGAATTCTGGAGGGTGGGGAGGTATGTGTTGTCATCTCTGGGACATAACTCCTCAACCTCTTCTCTGGGTGCCCTCTCCTCCCTAGCCTGCCATATTTCCTCTTTTCAGTGGCTAATATAAACTTATCTTCTAATCCTGTACCTTATAGAATGGGAAGGTGACTTGGAGTGGTCAGAGCAGTTGGGAAGACCAATCTGGAGTTGCAAATCTTCCAGCATAGATGTGAGAGATGGCAAAGATGGAGGGCTACACAAAGCATAAGACAAACTTAAGTCGTGCCCAGGCCAGCCCTTAGTGACCCAGCAGGGTCAAAGACTTCTGAAAACTTAGGAGTGGCAGGGAAGTCTCACTGCCTTATGCTCTACCATGGCCTCCCAAGGGCCATCTACCATAGATGTGGCTGTGGGGGAGATGAGATGAACAAGAGGGGAAAGAACACCATGAGAGAGGCAACAACCTGAGGACGACCTCTCCAGGAAAAGGAACTCTATTATGCACCTGCATTCCAAGAACTTGGAAGAAAGGGAGACAATAACCATCTTTATTATCCAAATTGTAGAGGAAATGATCCTGCAGAACAGGAGAACCTACCAGTGTTACTGGATTCAGGTTGCCAAATTGGGACTAGAAGGTTCTTGGTTCCACAAGGGAAAGAATTCCAGGATGGACACGAGGAGGTTTAAGCAGGAGGTTTATTAATGCAAAGCAAAGTGAAAGCAAAGCAAAAGTATATCCTTAGACAGAAGGGTGGGCAGGCTCAAGAAAAAGCAGCTGCCTTGATGGTACAAAGACTTTCAGCATTTATTGTGGTACGCAGACATGAGCGGGGAGAGGTCAGTCCTGAAAAACTGGTTTTGTGTCACTGATTTCTGAAGACTGTGGTATGTGTCATCAACTCCTCCCACATGTCAGGTGAGAAAGTTCTTAGCCTCAGATGGTCAGAACAGGGATTTGTACTTTCCCTGGGCTGGGGTCAGCACGACCCTGCTATATGTCTCAAGTCATTCTGTTAACATCCGTGGCCCGAAGTGTAATTTAAAAAAAATCAACATCCAAGCCATAGTTGTCAACCATCAGGTTTCCTAACTCCCTGCATAACCCTATACCACTAGCTGCCAAAGTGGATAAGAAGTGATTCCAGAGGGTGGCCTTCCTGCTGTATCTGCTGCTCCTGGGCACTAAGCAGGGGGGCTGGTAGAGTGTCATGCTGAGCCCAGGCTGTGAGGCCACAGCTGGCCCTGTAGCTCCTAGGACGAGGTGTGGCCACAGCTGCAGAGAGAAACCCTTGCTCCCAGGTGTGAAAATGACCAAGGCTCCTCGCTCCACGGAGGAGGCGCATCCTTGGCTTCACCGGGGCAGGCAGCTGGCCACAGGGTCCGGCAGCACCTGCACAAAGTTCATGGGGCAGAGCAGCAGTGGACACGCCTTCTCATGTTCCCTCAGCGCCTCACTCAGGTGCCTCAGCTCCCCCGTCAGCTTCCCGATCTCCCTGCGCAGCACGGCGTTTTCCTGCTCCAGACACTCGTATTCCTGGTGAAGACAGACAACGGACAAATTCATTTCTCACACCACGTGCCCTTCCTCTTTCTCTCGGTAGCTCTAACCCGCACCGTCATGCTAAACCTGCCTGCGCCTCCTCCATCACTCACATTTGTGATTTTTGGCTTCCCGTCTCTCTCTTCTGCCACTAAAATGAAAGGGTGATGAGGGTAGAGTTTTATTTTAATCAACTCGATTGAAGCATTATTTACATGAAATAAAATGCGTCTATATTAAGTGGATATAATTCAGTAAGTGTTGACAAATGTATATACCTTTGTTGATTGATATATAGAACATTTCCATCACTCCAAAAAGTTTCCTCATATCCCTTTGTACCAGTCCCTCCTAACTGTTGATCTGCTTTCTGGAGGTTTCTTAGATTCTCAGCTATACCCTCAGTACCTATAACATAACATGTTTGTTAATTACACAAATAAATGCATAAAAATATACCTTGCCTTGGCTTTCTTCCAGCACTTTTAAGTTTCTACTATGTCAGGGTTTACATAGGCTTAGCACTGGAAAAAATCAGAGTTCTCTTTGCCTAACGCACACAATGTAGAAACCTTCCATATGTAATCCCAGTTTACACATTTACCTTGGGCTGGGTACTCCCATCTTCAAAGGAAAGTCCTTGTCATTTCATAGCTGCTCTATTAGAAAGCTCCTTTTTTGTACTCATCCAAAATTTCTTTTCTCTTCTCTTCAAATTCATCTATGTGGCTTAGGTCCAACTAATGGAACCATGTAGAGAAAATCCAAACTTGTTTCAACACTGCGGTTCTTGAAATGTTCAAATTTAGACACTTCCCCTAAGGTAGTCTCTGAAACCAGCTATCTCAGAGCCTCTTGGTCAGGGCCTCTTGGTTAGGACCACCAGCCTTCCTGTTCACTGTCCCTGACACATTTCAAGTTGCCAGAAGCTCTGAGAAAATGTCACTCCCAGGAAGCAGTGCATGATTCTGGAGACCATGCAAAGGGCAATGTGTGTTGATGGCCCTAAGCCACAGGGGATCTCCCTCAGCCTACATAGAGGTACACACTCTCTCTGCATGTGTGGCTTCTGTCTACTTTTAGGTGATGTTTTGGAGTTTAAGGAGAGGGCTTTCCATCTGTCTCCACTGAATCTCACTTTATTCATTGTTTGAATCTTGGTTGTATCATTTCATGGATGTGTGATATCTTCCTCTTCTTTATCCAAGTCATTATTAAGTTCTAGTGATTCAAGATAGTCACATTGCTACAACACACCAATAGCGACCCTCTCCAGGATGACAACTGTATTTAGATCTTGCTGAAATGTTTTATTTCTGGCTTGATTCATATGGTTGGGCTTTCTTCCCCATGTACATCAGGCATCTCCTGATCTGGGAACCTAGCACAACTCTCTTCCCAGTCATTTTAAGAAACCTCACTATAGATGTCTGATCTTATAGCCCCTGCGGACATAGGCAAATTCTCAATTTCGTTCATGCAGTTCTCCTCAACTGGATTGCCATCCTCCTTTTTGATATGGGCCCAGCATAAGTCCACTGCCTCCAAGAAGGCTGCTTTGATCACAGCATCTATAGGCCTTACATCTTTTCTTATGAGTCCTATTCAGTCTTGTATCCTATTCAATCTCTCCCCAAAGATCCACCTAGGAGCCTCTGTTATCTTCTTCTGTATCCTTACCTGCTGAGTCACAGTGCCAGTATCTATGTGCTCAGTGGCTGTAGCCTTGACCTCAGTTTTCTCCTTCCCCTTCCTTTATTCTCTCCTCCTTTAAGCACTTTCCTCCCTTTCAAAACCCAGGGCTCCAGAGGGGCTGCATGCAAAGGTCATCTATCTCAGCCATTTCTCTGCCTCCAGCCCATGCAAGAAGGCTCCTAGGTGTTCTGGAATACTCTCCAAGGCAGCAGGTCTCATTCTGTCTCCCTGCTGGCTGCCCTGGGTCAGTTTTGGCTTCACTAGACATTGGCCCTATTCTGCCTTCAGCTCCCTATGCCTTGCTACCACCCCCAATTCCTCATGATCTCCTCCAGGCTCTGATCAGCTCTAGTCCTGGAGTCAGAATTCAGTCTACAAACTCAGTAACAAGCCCTCCATGGGCAGGTGAGGGACTGATAGGATGATGGGGCTGGGGGCCAAGCCACGGAAGGAAGCCTCATTTGAGGGAGAGACAAAAGAAGCATGCACACACACCACTCTGCAACTGGAAATGCCCTTGTCTTGTAAGTGAAATGCATGGTAGACTTGAATGGTTCCATGGAGTTAGTATTTTAATTAGATTCCGAAGAAAAGAAAGCTCTCTTCCTTTGGCAGAATATTCAAAACTGCCTTTTTCTTTCTTTCTTTACACTTTTATTAGCATATATTATTTGTACAAAGGCAAACTGCCTTTCTATGTTTACTGATTCTGTGCAAGAAGCTCTGAGCCTCTGAGCTTTGGCTCTTGAAGCCTCTAGCAGCCCTGAGGCCACAGCCTTCATGCGGTACCACTGCTTTCTCCATCCCTGCTAGAAAAGCCTTCAGAGCTGCCTGTCACAGCCCCTTATCTGCCTTCTCCACAGGAACTTTCTTTTCTGGAATTTCAGTTTTATTTATAAATCTGTGGAGAGATTTTTACTGAGCTAACGGAAGATGAGCGAGTAAAAGAGCAAAAATCCTCAGGTGAGACCAATCCTATAAAAATAAAGACAAGAGGTAGGAGGAGAAGAGCCCAGAGGGGATGGAAACAAAAAGGAAATAGTGAAACCCACTTCACACTGAAAAGAAATGACTATATTTAATCTAAACAAAGAGCCAGCAGAGAACATGAAACTCAGTGTCATTTCCAAAGAGATGATGGTCTAGCTCAAATCTTGCGGAGTTGTGACTCTCTGCCTAAAGGAGGGCTTGAGGGCTCTGTGCTGCCACCCTGAGTCACAGGTTCAAAGCAGAGACCTAAAAACATTAGAAGTGGTGACATCACTGCAAATCCCAGTTCTGCGGCAGAAATTAAGCTTTGTAAGACAGTGGCTCTCAACTGGGCCAATTTTGGCAGTCCCCACTTGAGAACACTTGAAGATATTCTGAGGTACCTGCAGATAGTTTTGGTTGTCACAGATGTGGGAGTATCATATTAGGTCAAAACCAGGGATGCTGCTCAATGTCCTATAGTGCACAGGACAGCCCCACCTACAAGGGATTACCCAACGCCAATGTCAACAGTGTCAACAATACTGAGGTTCAGCAATACCTGACTTCAAACTATATTACAAAGCAATAACGATAAAAACAGCATGGTACTGGCACAAAAACAGACATGAAGACCAGTGGAACAGAACAGAAGACCCAGATATGAAGCCACACAACTATAACCAACTTGTCTTTGGCAAAGGAGCTAAAAATATACGATGGAGAAAACACAGCCTCTTCAACAAAAACTGCTGGGAAAACTGGTTAGCAGTCTGCAAAAAACTGAAACTAGATCCATGTATATCACCCTATACCAAGATTAACTCAAAATGGATCAAGGATCTTAATATCAGACCACAAACTCTAAAGTTGATACAGGAAAGAGTAGGAACTACTCTGGAGTTAGTAGGTATAGGTAAGAACTTTCTCAACGAAACCCCAGCAGCACAGCAACTAAGAGATAGCATAGATAAATGGGACCTCATAAAGCTAAAAAGCTTCCGTTCATCAAAAGAAATGGTCTCTAAACTGAAGAGAACACCCATAGAGTGGGAGAAAATATTTGCCAGCTACACATCAGACAAAGGACTGATAACCAGAATATATAGGGAACTTAAAAAACTAAATTCTCCCAAAACTAAAGAACCAATAAAGAAATGGGCAAGTGAACTAAACAGAACTTTCTCAAAAGAAGAAATTCAAATGGCCAAAAAACACATGAAAAAATGCTCACCATCTCTAGCAATAAAGGAAATGCAAATTAAAACCACACTAAGATTCCACCTCACCCCTGTTAGAATAGCCATCATTAGCAACACCACCACCAACAGGTGTTGGTGAGGATGCGGGGAAAAAGGAACCCTCTTACACTGTTGGTGGGAATGTAAACTAGTACAACCACTCTGGAAAAAAATTTGGAGGCTACGTAAAAAGCTAGACATTGATCTACCATTTGATCCAGCAATACCATTCTTGGGGATATACCCAAAAGAGTGTGACTCAAGTTACTCCAGAGGCACCTGCACACCCGTGTTTATTGCGGCACTATTCACAATAGCCAAGTTATGGAAACAGCCAAGATGCCCCACCACTGATGAATGGATTAAGAAAATGTGGTATCTATACACAATGGAATTTTATGCAGCCATGAAGAAGAACGAAATGTTATCATTCGCTGGTAAATGGATGGAATTGGAGAACATCATTCTGAGTGAGGTTAGCCTGGCCCAAAAGACCAAAAATCGTATGTTCTCCCTCATATGTGGACATTAGATCAAGAGCAAACACAACAATGGGATTGGACTTTGAGCACATGATAAAAGCGAGAGCACACAAGGTAGGGGTGAGGATAGGTAAGACACCTAAAAAATTAGCTAGCATTTGTTGCCCTTAACGCAGAGAAACTAAAGTAGATACCTTAAAAGCAACTGAGGCCAATAGGAAAAGGGGACCAGGAACTACAGAAAAGGTTAGTTCAAGAAGAATTAACCTAGAAGGTAACACACACGCACAGGAAATCAATGTGAGTCAACTCCCTGTATAGCTATCCTTATCTCAACCAGCAAAAACCCTTGTTCCTTCCTATTATTGCTTATACTCTCTCTACAACAAAATTAGAGATAAGGGCAAATTAGTTTCTGCTGGGTATTGAAGGGGTGGGCGGGAGAGGGAGGGGGCGGAGTGGGTGGTAAGGGAGGGGGTGGGGGCAGGGGGGAGAAATGACCCAAGCCTTGTATGCACATATGAATAATAAAAGAAAAAAAAACAATACTGAGGTTCAGAAGCCTTATTCTGGGCACCTCTGAGAGGTTGCTTGGGGAATGAGGTGTTGTCTGGGGTTTTCCAGGGTTCAGGGTCCTCTGAAGAAGAAGAAGACAGGAGTGAGGAATAGTAGAGGTGATTTGGAAAGGAGGTGTCAGAAAAAGTCATTGGGAGGACACAACCACACACCTATCCCATTTCATGTGAGCTGAAGCTCTGAGAGATGCAGGGATGCGCCCAAGGTCCATGATCACTGATGCAAGATCAGCGCAACTCCCATGTGGCAACAGCAATTTTGCTTTCTGTTAGCCATGGCTAGACCCAAATTTCCCCATGGTGGTTACCAGAAGTAAGAGGCTGTGAGATTTTAAAACTTTACAATTAGTCTCTTCCAAAGCCTTAAGCTGATGCACTTCCTAGCAGCAAAACTGTGTCACCAGCAAGTGCTGTATAAATTAGTGTCATAATCAGTTTCTAAACCAAGTGGGTATGACATGAACCATTCCCTTAGAACATGAACTATCTGAAAAAAAGCATGGCAGCACATACCACAACCATAGTGACCAAATAATTTGTCAGTTTGTGACACTGGGGCTCTTGAGGATGGCATTGCTGCCTTCCTTTTCTGACTCAAAATTCTTTCTCGGTCTGACATCTTTAGGTGCCTGGTACAGCCAGCCTGACCCACTTCTGAGCCACCTTTTAGCCTGTCTGAAAGACCCTGCTCTTCGCTTTGGTTCCCATTTGTGAAGGTGCCTCCAGTATGAGCCTAAGACAAATGAGGTAGAAATCCCAAGAGAGGTATAAGAGTGCTGAAGGGAGGATTTGAAAACTGTGACCACTAAGGGTCACAAATTAACAACTGCTTCTCATCACTATGGTCTAACTGCCAGCAACCAGTACCCTGAGGGAAATTCTACCTGAGGAGTGAGCCAACCCCTCTCTCCCTGCAGTTGGTCTGTCTTGCCTTGATGAATGGTCTTTTGGGCTTTGGTGTTAGAGAAGGGGGAGGAGAGGAAAGTGACCAAGAAACTCAAAAGAGCTACAGATTTCAGGGTGCTAGATGTGACCAGAACTCAAGGACAACAGGGTGTGTGAGTGAGGTGAGCAGAAGACAATAGTGGGAATTTTAAATAAGTCTTCCTTCAAACATTCCTCTTTGTGGTATTCAAGAAACACAAACTGGGGCTGGAAGAGTGCCTTGAGTAGTGAAGCCCCTGCCTAGCAACTAAGAGGCCCTGAGTTCAAACCCCAGTAGTTTAGGAATTCTGCCCCACAATGTGGAACAGGGGAACCAACCAGGAAAGCCCTTTTTATGGGCTACTGTCTTCAAGGAGTAGCAGGCAGCTGTGACTACTAGGTGGCTGTTTTCCTGACCCCTTGGTGCTTCCCAGTGAGCTGACCTCCTTCCAGATGTGAGGAGGTTTCCATGTTAGGTGTCTTGCTCTTGCTTTGTCTGTTCTAGATGTGGCCTTGGAGCTCTGTGGAGCCCTAAAGGTATTCTGCTGTGACCCACAGCAGTGTGCTAAGTACTCTTTACCCATTTTTTAAACAAGTCACCTCACTTGCAGTAAGTAGCGTTAGTCATTCAGTGTCTGTCACTACACTGCTGGCCGTGAAGGACAGAGACTCACCATACCTATGATGCCCTGCTGGCAGGAGACTGGGAAGTGACAGGAAACGTGACATATTCATGTGGTACCTTTTGGGATTCTGCAGAAAGTTTGGGATGTATTCCCATTTTCCTAAGCCAGTTGCTCACTTCCTCACACCCTCTTTGACTGGTGACATTTGCATGTAGCTAGTGAGTGTAAGTCCACAGCTTTGGGGTCTATATACTGATGGTACCACTTTCCTGACTTCCTTGGCATTGTGTTTCTCAACAAAATCAGACTTACTGAGGTGATCTGCCAGTGGTACATATCCTGACCCACTCCTCAGCCCCACAGATAAAGAGAAGAAGGGAGTTCTCTTCCCTGAAGCCAGTGGGAAGAATAGGCTAGGGATCCTATGGAGGGGCTCTCCACCCTGTAGTTCTAGAAGGGATAAGGCAGGCATGACTGCAGCACCACTTCTAAGTTCCCTTGGTTATCAAATCTAACAATGACAGAAACTGAGAGAGAGCCAATGTTTTATCTGGGTGTCTTTCCTTGACACTGTAGTAAAGTTATATGAATATTTTTATTACCTTCCATGGGAGGCAGAAGAATGGCCTCTCAAAGATGTCCACATCCTAATCTCTGGAACCTGTGAATATGTTGCCTTATATAGCAAGAGGGACTCTGCAGATAATATTAAGAAGAATAAAAATGGAGAGATTATTCTGGCAGGCACAATGTCATTGAAGGGAGGGTCCTTATAAGTGAAAGGGGAGTCAGGAGGGCAGGAGGAGATGTGATGATTGAACCAGTATGAGAGGGCTTTGGGATTCTTCTGTGGAAATTTTACAGAACTCCTAAAGAATGAGAAAACTTTCCCTGACCCTAGTCTGGAGATCCTAGTCTCTTTCTAAAGCCCAGCCCTCCAACTTCCAGGAAAAAATCTGACAGTTATAAGGTACACCATATTGTAAATGTGTCAGTGTCACATCTCCCCAGAGCATGTGTATTCCAAGTGTATCTTCTGTTCATTGTGACAGAGTTTTCAGAGATGTCTTTTCCCTCTCCACATAAACAACTGAGTCTCTGTGCTATCAAAATCTGATGCGCTTTGCTGAGATAATCTGTGGCAAGAAAGCATGGCAGGAGAGAACTAAACTAAAATCTTTAATTCTACATGCCAACCCTGGGCAAAGATGAGAACATGGAAGTGTAGCCAATTCCTTGGATAGAACCGTGATTGCTTTCAAGCTCAGTTTCTGATATGGAAAAGTTACCACGTCCTGACTGTAAACTGAGTGGGTTTATGATAACGGTCAAGGGCAATGGAATTGTTGAGGATAAATCCCAGTGCTATGGTTTGAATGTGTCTCCCAAAAGCTGATGCATGGGAAACTTGGTCCCCAATGAGCAGTGTTGAGAAGCTGGAACCTTTGAGAGGTAATTAGGTCCTAAGGGTTCTACTCTCACCATAGATGGCTCTAGTGTTGGATTACTGGGTTATGCTGGGAGTGGCTTTTCATAAAAACAAGCTCTCTGGTTTGCTTGTTGTGTCTTGCCATTCCTCTACCATGTTATGGTGCAGCAAGCCAGACGCTGAGCAGATGATGGTGCCATGCTCTTGGATTTCCCAGCCTCCTGAACCATGAGCCAAATAAATGATTCCTCATAACCAGTGGTATTCAGTTATAGAAACAGAAAGCAGACTCAGATACCAGGCTCCTGATTTGGTTAGCAACATTAACTACAATGTGAAGTCAGGGAGGAGAGAAAGTCTCAGGGTGAGCAGACCTCATTCTCTAATGTGCTGCACTCCAGCAGCCTGCTGCAGACTCATTTGGAGATATCTAAGCAGAGTGTGAAGTTCTAGGGTCTAGAACAGAGGGCCTACCTGGAGTAATTGATGTTGAGAGCTGATGTTAGGTGAACAGACTAATAGATAAATCTTCCAGGATGAGATAAAAAAAAAAAAAAAGCAGAGTCTGAAACTCTGGTCAATACAACATTTAAGAAAACAAACAGGTTCACATCTATAATCCCAGCACTCAGGCTGAAGCAGGATGACAGCCTGGCCTACACTACAAAACCCTGTCTCAAAAAAAAAAAAAAAACCAAACAAATAAAGATAACAGAGGTAGAAAAGCTAACAGAGGAACAGAAAAAAAGTGGTCAGAGGGTCTGAGAACTAGGAAATGTGATGTTTCAGAAGCAAATAAGGAAAGGTTTTAAAAAGGCATGGGACAGGGGTATCAAGTGTTCCAGCAAGGTCAAGGATGATGAGACCAGGAAGAGGCCCCTGAAAGGTACTGGGGCCTCCATGGGAATGGTTTCTATAGGGGTGTACATATGTACATGTGTGTACACATGAACTGGGTGCAGGTAAAGGGAGCAGGAGTGAAATCACAGAAGAGGAATAAATAGGAACCAAGGACACAGAGACAGCAAGTGTAAGCTACTCTTATTCATTTGCTTTTTTTTTTTTTGGTGGGACTGGGGTTTGAACTCAAGGATTCACCCTCACAAAGCAGACACTCTACCACTTGAGTCATACCTCCAGCCCATTTTGCTAGGGTTATTTGAGAGATAAGGTCTCATGAACTGTTTGCCCGGGGTTGATCTCAAACCATAATCCTCCCAATCTCAGTCTCCCAAGTAGCTAGGATTGCAGGTGTGAGCCACCAGTGCCCAGCTTCTTTTCATTTATTTATTATTTTGGTGGTGCTAAGGATTGAACCCAGGGCTTCGAGCATGCTATGCAAGTGCTCTACTACTGAGCGACATCCCCAGCTGTAAGGTACTCTTCATCTTAAGAAGCAGGAAAATGAGGGAAGGAAAGAAACAGAGTGAGAACTTGAAAAGGAATAAGGATCAAGAAGAAACATGTTTTGAGCATGAGAAGCATCCAGCGGATTGGACTGAGAAATGAGGTCCGCAAGGAAAGAATGAGAACACTGGAAAGACCCAGCAGAATTAGATGTGTGCAGAACTGGTGGTGAAGACAGTGACACAGTCACCAAGCCCCAGTGTAAGGGTGGAGGATGGCTCCACGCCCCCAAGCCTCTCATGTTCTGCCCAACCACAGACTCACCTCGTGGAGTTTGTCAGCCTTCTGGGTCTGTTTCTTCCGACTTCTTTGAGCAGCAACTCGGTTTTTTTCTCTCCTTCGGACCTTCCTGTCATCATCCTCAGGGCTCTGTGGGATGACACTTGGTGAGGTGTGATGTTAAGGCCCTCACCTTACCCTTCTCTTCACCCTTCTTGGTCATTGAGAGCCACCATTTCATTTGCAGTCAACCACAGTGCTTTCTGGAACATCAGTGGGATAAGAATAGTCCCTTGATAAAGGATGCTTGTTATGTTCTGGTGCTTGCTTAGCCCCCACCACCCTGAGAAGTGTGTAGTATGAATGTCATTTAGAAAATGGGGAATAACAGGGCTGGGTCTGTAGCTCAGTGGTAGAATGCTTGTGTAGCACTTGTGAGGCCTGGGTTTGACCCCTGGCACCACAGAAATATTAAAAAAAAAAAAGATGAGGAATAAGAAACTCAGATAGGTTAAGGAACTTGCTCCAGGTATCACAGGGGTGTGAGTGGGAAGTGGAACTCAGGTCTGTTGGTTTCCAAACCAACATTCATAAACCTCTACCCCACAGGGTGTGTGCCTGGAAGAGTTGTGGTGTCAACATTGCTCATCTGAGACTGGAAGAGCCAGAGGGCATCTGCTATCTGGAACTTCCTGTGTGCCAGCTCTTACTACCATGCAAGTATCAAGTATCAAGTACTTTTGATACTGTGTGCAATCACGATTGCACATTTACAACTAACTGCAACTGCCTAACTCTGCCAACACACTGGACAATCAGAAATAATGCCGTGTCTTGAAAACTCTTAACCATATGTGAGATTTAACCAAATACAGTTGACTCCTTCAAGAGGTATCATGAAACAGGCAGGCAGAAAAATGCACCTCCCATAGCAAAAACACTTTATTCATTATTAAAAACAAAACACATGGAAAAGTTACAGCAGTATTTGCTTTCCAAAACCCCATGACAAGGTATCAAAAGAAGATATCAAAAGAGGATGGGAGAGAATTGCCCTTAAGGACTAATACGAAGTTGCTGGGCTAGAGATGTGTAACACTTGCCTAGCATGCATGAAGCTCTGGGTTTGAGCACCAGCATCACACCAAAAAAAAAAAAACCCCAAAAACTCAGAGATTCATGATGTACAAAACAAGACCACTATGAGACCACTATTCAATTAGTAACATTAGTAGAAAGCAAATATAGATAACAGAAAAATGGTACTTTCAGTTATCTTTTTAAGTGGTCTTGTATTCCAAATAAAAAAAATATACATCATGTCTCCAAGTATTGCAGGAAAGAATGTCCAGTATGTCCAAGAAGGCAAGAGCATAAAAAGAGAGTAAACAACCAGCAGAACAAATAGAAGGGAGTGGAGACAACCTTTAGGAAAACAGAGATAGGTGTAAAAATGCATTTTGTAGAAGCAAAGACGTCTTGATAAATACAGCCAGAACATGGAGAAGCAAAGAGGTCAGAAATAAAGTTTTAGAATCTCACAGACTTAGTTTTGTCTCTTACCATCAATATGGCCTTGGGTGAAAGACTTAATTCTCTGAACTTTCAATTTCCTCATTTACTATAAGTGCGAGTCATTCATTCTTTCACCCACCATGTACCAGGCACTCTCTAGGCACTGGGGTTACAAGCCGCAAAATGATCAGTGATCTCTGTGGCTTTCTGGCCAACAGTGTCACAGGGTAAGGCTTAGGGCTAGCATCGGATGCAAGGAGACTTTCTCCCAAAGTTCCCAACATACAGCATGCCTCAAAGCAGTTGCTTGCCTTTGTTGAGGTTGCTGCTATTTTTAACAGATCTCCCACAGTGCTTGCCATTAAATTATGCCTCTGTTCTCCATAACTGAAAAGTCACAGAGCAAGGTTGGGGCAGGCAATCTGCCCTCTGGGAGCTGACACACTAAACTGGACTTAACACCTATCACATATGGTCATACCTCTACCCAGCAGAAACATTTAACCGAGGCAGAAAGAGGTGGGCAAAGTCGTGAGATGTTCATATATTATCCCTAGTTCGTTTACTTCTCACAAAAATCCAGAGGGGATGATGTTATACTCATTTTACAGATGGGGAAACTGAGACTCGGAGACGTTAAGCAAATTGCCCAAGGTTACTCAACCTGTGGGGCTAAGCAGAGACCCAAACTCAGGTCCGTGTGACACTTCCAGTGTCACCCTATGACACTCAATGCCAGGCACCGAATTGAGGGGTGGGTGGATATAAGAATGAAAAGACCAGGTTCTAAGTCCTAAAGCAGCTGGGAGAGGGGTCTCAGTCAGTTACCGGAGCGTGCGGTTGTAAACGTGCCTGAGGACAGCGCAGGGGACTGACTGGATGGGGGTGAGGGGTTTCCACCAGCGCTGGGGGTGGAGTCGGCCCACTGCAGGCCCTCACCCCACACCCCCAAGCTGGCCTGTTCCTCCTTCCCCATTGGGACCGCAGGCAAGGGGGATGGATATAGGGCCAAACCGCCCCTTTGGGCTGCATTCCACCTCTTCCCCGCTCTGGGTGCTCTGCTCCTGCCAGAGAGGCCGGGAAGGGCCGTGCGAAGGCAGTGGGGTGGCAGCCTCTCCAGCGCAAGGAGAGAGCGGCCCCCAGAGCACGTGCCGGTGGACGCCGGCTGTGGACTCGGGGCGTCCCCGGAGGTGCAGGAACCATCCCGGGCGTCGTGGGCACAGGACGTGCTCCTGGACGGACGGGCAGAGGCGCACGTCAGCATCCCCGATGGTCCCCTGTCCCCGCTCCGCCGGTCCCCATCCCCGCACCCACCTCCTCGCTTCCCGGGGCGCCCCGATCCCTGCACCCCTGCTATCCTCCCAGCCCCTCTAGTCCTCTACCTGCGGCTGCGACTGGTTCCCGGGCGCCGCGACACTCCTCTGCAGGACGCTGCCGGCGGCGGGGAGCCCTTGCGACATGCCGGGCGCTCCTCCGACCCGGCCCGCCCCGCCGCGCAGCCTCGCGGAGGAGCGGCCGCCGGGCGGCCCGCCGCGCCTTGCACGCGGGACACTGGCTACCGGCGCGGTGTCGCCACCCGCATCCAGGCACCCCAGCACCTGCCGGCCGTCACCCTCCGCCCCGCCCCCTCCCGCTCTCCCGGGTCCTCCGGGCGCCTCGCCCCCCCCCCTCCGGCACACTGTCCTTCCCGTCCCCAAGTCCGCCCCGCCCCCTTCTTCTCCCACCCCCGCCCCATTTCCTCCTCTCCCCGCCCTGTCGCCGTACCTCGGGGTCCCAAATCCCACCCCTGTCGCGGCTTTCCGCTGGGGCCCAGCGTTTCGTGGAAGTCACGTGGTGGCTCCGAGCCCCAGGAGGGCGCGGGAAACCCACCCGCTACAGGCGACGCCGGGTGGGTGGGCGTCAGGGGGGCGCGGCGCCGCCTCTGGGTCCTTCGCTCTCGGAGAGCTCCGGTTGAGAAACACAAGTGTGTAGTTTGGAGTTGGTGTTTTTGTCCCCGTCCCATCCCGACATCTCCCTGCGCATCCACCACGCCTGTCCTCCGCCCTCCCTCCTGCCCTCCCTCCGCACTTCCCCAAGCGCAGGTCACAGTCTCAGGGGACTTTCTCCGCTGCCATTGGTCACCTGGGTGTCACCCTCGTTCGGCGGCCCGGGAGGCGGACCCGAGAGCAGGGCGCCCCAGGGCTTTTCTGCGGGGAGCACCTGCCCTTCTTTTGTCCCGGTCCCGTCGTGCTGTGGGAGGGAGCGAGGCAGGGCGGCCCCGATGGTGAATTCCCTGAGTGGAGGTGGGTAAGAGGAGGTTTTCCGGGACAGAATGGGTCACAGGCGCCCCTGAGATCGAATCTGCCACGTTGGACGTCCTTCGTTACAGATTCGGGGATCTAGACCGCCAGGCTAAGATTAAACAAACCAGATCCCTTTTCAAGATTAAGCTGGCAGGTGTCCTGCCCGTGGGCTAAGGTGCGTGGTTGCCACGCTCAGGCCATACTGGGCACAGGATAGAGATACGGCGTGTTCCACTCCACACCTACCCGCCAGTTTAAGAAAAAAAAAAAAAAGCGAAGTCAAGATGATTGTGCAGGGCAAAGGAAAACGCTTAGCAGTTAGAGGTTTGGGGTCTGTGTGCTGTGGGCCTCGGGAAGGACAGATAACCGAGGCTCTGGTGGGAACCCGAGCAGAAGTGCCTTCGTAGTGTGGTCTCTTTGACCTTGACGTTCCTGGGCTGTAGTGGAGATGGGGGATCTCCCAGCGCTCGTGCTTCTCCGCCAGGATTTAAGATCCGCCCTTACAGAAGTTTTTGACAGGAGCTTATGTGAGCTTGGCTGCCTCGCTGCGGGCAGGAAAGCGAGTGGAGACTCCCAGGGGCCTCCACCAACTGAGGCCGGAAGGAGAACCTAGGCAGCAGGAGGACGGGTGGGGCGCAGCACTGTAGAGTCACCAGCGCCGCTGCACAGCTAAGCTGGTCTACGCTGGGTTTTGTGCCTAGATTTCTATTCTCAACTCCTTTTCGTTCATCAGTCAGCGTAACTCATTGGTTGTCCCAGGGGCGAGTACTTTTGCCTCCCATAGAGTATACGCAATGTGCCCAGCACAGTGCTCTGCACACAAGTGCTCAGTACATTTATTGCAGTAGGTCCGCTAAGGATCCCCATTCTTGAAAAATGAAAGGGACCCTTAACAAGAGAAAACCTCTGGGACAAATGGCCGCAACATCCAGATGTGCTTTCATTCCCCAGTGTTGTTTATGAACAGAAAGGGCAAAGTAAAAACATCAGTGGACATTCGTGTGCACTCCATGCTTCATTCTGGTCATTGTCGCTTTTCTGGTCTCCATGAGCCACGCCATATTCCAAGTCCTTTCTGGGCAGAGCCTGGGACCATGCCCCAGCGTACAAGGACTGAACTCTGCTTATGCTATGCGAGAGTTTCTTCCTATATATTTAAAGGAGTCTGCGTTAACTACTTACCATATAAGGAAGAGATTGATTTGACCTACATATCGTACATCAAAATGAATAGATAGCTGGATATAGAAATAAAAATCAGATAGAACGGAATTAAAGCCTTATTACAGTCCAGAGGATACAGCACGGAGAGGATTTTCTTATACATGATACGAGGAAATGCCACTGGTAATAGGCTAGCGATATAAAAGTGCTAAGTTATTTTAGATGGTTGTGTAACTAGAAATTTAAATAGATTAGAAAAAGACAGTGCATATGAGGGAGCGTTAAAATGTCTGTTGAATCTATCTCATGAAAATGAATAAGAAAAATATGAAGACAACCCTCCCCCCCAAAGATAAACTGCACAAGTGACAATGAACTGGCATTTCCCAACAGAGGAAAAATCAAGGAAAATAGAAACAAAAACCATGTTGAGATAAAAATCTTTTAAAGTATTAAATTAAAAAGCTATGCACTGACATCATTGTACATTGGTACAAATCTATTGGAAAGCAATTGCCTGAAACTTCCGAGTCATCACAAGTGATTCAGTTTCCCCACTTCTAGAAAACCATTCCAGGAAGATCATTGACTATATTCAGGAGAAAAACACTACAATCATTAAAAAATTCAGATTTTAAGACTGAAAATTATAAGCATCATAAATGTCCAATTATAGTGGAATGGCTTAACAAAATGTTATACTCACAATGCAGGATATGATATATCCTTAAAATTATAAGCATGCAGACAAATTTGTCATATGGCAGATTTATTTGGTAAGAGGTAAATTGAGAAAAAATGAGAATACAAAAAGTACAGGTATAATATGTTTGTAAAAATGTATGCTTAGGAATAAATTGGAGGAAGAGAAACTGAGGTGGCAATTTTTCTTTTGTAATGGTAATTATCATAAATAATTTATCTTTTTAAACTTTTTGAAAAAGCTTCATGGTAGCATCTTTGAACATTTCATATTTTTCAGTAATATGCACGTATTTATATTATTCTCTTCTCTCATACTGAACAAATTTGCCAACATTTCTCTGACCAAGTTGATTCTTTCCTGATAGCCATTTTCTTGCTTTTCTATAACATTTTGTAACTTATTTTATTCTCTTAAAATCAAAAGGAGAAAAACAAAGAAAATGAATATAAACAAGAACAAACATTTTGATTTTTTTTCTGCGTTCTTTGTATCTGTATTTTTTTCCCCCTTGAGCTGGGAAGAGAGAAATGATGTGATTTAGCAATTTCCTATTAATACCACAATGACCCTGGATTGCATGTTTGGGGACAGAAGGAGGAGGAGCAGGTTTATAGCTCAATGATCAAATCCTCTGGTGATTCACTTCACAGGAAGACAGTTTTTTTTAAAAATAAAAACAAGTTGCTCAAATGCTAGAAAATCCTGTCACTAGTTCAATTTTGCTGTTCTCTTTTAGGGAAACTGACCTTCCAGTAACTTCACCCTCAGTGCTCTTTCTCAGAAGGTGACCACTTCAGGCTTCTGGTGGGCCAGGGAATAAAAAGTTGAAGATAGAGGTCACCAGGTTTACCAGAAACCCACCACTGTGTGTCAGCCCCTGTTCCAGGCCCTGGGATACAGCATGGACCAAAGAGCCACATCTCAGGGAGCTCGTGTTCTAGAAGAGGGAGACAGGAAAGCTGCAGACAAAATGCAGAATGTTAGATGCTGGTACATAAACCAAGGATGAGAAATAGGGAGTCATGGGGGATGCGTTTTTAAAAAGGGAAGTCAAGGAAGGCGTCTCTGCAGGAAAGGGGCCATGAGAAGCTGCACCAACAGCAAATGCAAAAGTTCTCCTAAGAGATGAGGTCAGAAAGGCAGGAAGAGCCAGGTCATGCAGAGCCTTGTGGGCCACTTGGTTTTCACTTAGAGTGAGATGGGAAAACGCTGGAGGCTTTTGAATAGAAGTGTGTCATGATCTGACATAAGTTCTTACAAGGGCACTTTGGCCACTGTATAAGAATAGACCAAGGCCATCCGATTCTTGACAGACGTGCCAAAAAAGGCACATTGGAAAAAAATGACAGCCTCTTTAACGTGTGGTCTTGGGAAACTGGATATTCACATGCAGAAAACCCTGTACAAAGACTGACTCAAAAGGGATCAAAGACCTTAATGTAAGATTTGAAACTTTGAAAACCTAGAGGAAAACCTAGAGGAAGTGCTTCAAGATATAAGCATAGCAAAGACTTTCCAAATAGGGTCCAATAGCTCAGGAAATAAGAGTAAGTATTGCCAAGTGGGATTGCATCAAATTAAAAGGCTTCTTACAGCACAAGAAATAATCAACAGAGTGAAGAGAATCTATAGAATGAGAGAAAATCTTTGCCAGGCAAGGGATTAATAACCAATATATATAAAGAACTCAAAAACTTAAACAAATAATCTAGTCAGTAAAAGGTGTATGAACCAAACAGATACTTTTCAAATGAAGAGCTACAAATGACCAGTAAATCCACATGAGAACATGTTTACCAGTCTTAACCATCAGGGAAATGCAAACCAAAACTACATTGAGATTTCACCTCAACGAATGCTGGTGAGGATATGGGGAAAAGGAACTCTTATTCACGGCTAATGAGAAGTAAATTAGTCCAGCCACGAAGGAAATCAGTATGGAGGTTCTTCAAAAAGTTAAAACTAGAACTCCCATATGATCCAGCCATACCACTTTTGAGTCTATACTCAAAAGAATCAAAGTCAGCACACTATAGAGATACTTGTATACTCCCGTATACTGTAGCCCTATTCACGATGCCCATCGACAGACGAGTACATAAAGAGAATGTGGTGTATACACACAATGCCTTCCCTCAGCCATTGAGAAGAATAAAAGTATGCTGCTTGCTGGAGAATGGATGGAATTGGGAATCATCTGTTAAGTGAAATAAGCCAGTCCCACAAAGGCAGGCGTCACATGTTTTCTCTCATTTGTGGAAGCTGGAGGAAAACAAAACCAAACCAAACAACCAAGGTCATGAAAGTAAATGGGGGACTACTAGGGAGGTAGAAGAGAAAGGGGACAGAGGAAGGGAGAATGAAGGATAACAAAGAGCAATGGAGGGCTGGAGAAATGGCTCAAGCAGTAAGAGCGCCTACCTAGCAAGCATGAAACCCTGAATTCAAACCCCAGTACTGCCAACAAAAGAGTAATAGAGCGAATGAATAGGATCCAAGCTGATTACATGCAGGTATGGAAGTGTCATGATGAAAACCCTTACTATGTACAATTTAATATATGGCAACTAAAGTTGCCATTAAAAAAGAGAGAGAGAATAGACTGAAAGGAGATGAAGACTATAATCTAGGAGAGCTGGACAATCTTGGGAACATGGGAATGGTGGAGACTGAGGCAAGTTTGCCAGAAAGTTAATGAGCTTAAGCTTTAAGGCACATCACTTGCACAGGCCCCAAATCACAGCTCAGAACACACCACTGTGTTCCCATGGTGATATGTTTCAATGACATTTGCAAAAATGGGATATTTAAACCATAAATAATTAAGACAACTATGTCTTTTGACCTTATCATTCCTCAGTCCCATCATGTCTGGTGGTGTTGAAGTAGCTGCAGGAATTTTAGGGACGTGCAAAGCCAGTTTAATCAGAGACTGTTACATGGTAGGATATATGTATGTAATTTGTAGTCACTTCTATATAGAATCACTTTTTTGTCAGTTGTATTGGCTTCCAGAAATATTCCTGCTACCCACTGTGCTAAACCACCCAAAACATATGCTGTACTGAAAACATAATCATACCCTGCCCAACCTGGCACCAGAAATATGTGGGTGGTGGAGGAGAGACCAGATTTGAAGTGTACATCCCCAGCAGGCAGATTGTGAAAATCCCTCCCACCATCACACATGTAAGTTATATGCAGAAGATTCAGATCTGATTTACATAGGCAAAACAGAGTTCTCCCCTGTCAGGAATCAAATAAACAATACAGATTCTATAATCAGAAATGTGCCTTAAGGGCTTTTTCTTCAGGAGTGACATGTTTCATAAAGCTTGAATATGACATTTTAACTGGAAATATGGGACTTGGAAGCATGGCTCAAGTGGTAGAGCGCCTGGTTTAGTAAGCGCAAAGCCCTGAGTTCAAACTCCAGTATCTCAAAGAAAAAAAAAAGGGGTTAACTAGAAATATAACGTAGAGCATTCAATAAACAAGTTGAAAACTAGACTCCTGATTTGTCTATATATAAAGGCACCATCTTTTGTCATTTCTAAATTGACATGTGAAAGAAAAAATACATAAAATTGAGGAGTGATAAGCAATTGAAAGCAGTAGAAATTTTTCTGACATCTATAGGCATATCATAACAAATCTCAGATTATACTAGAGGCAATAGCTCATTCAGAGAAAACATAAATGTCATTTGGAAGCAATGAACAGGTTGCTGAATTGTTCAATGACCCAGTAATGAGGTAGAGTGACCTGGAGAGACACAAAGGCAGAATATTTACGGTTTGTACTACTCTCACTTGAAATACGTCACCAAACTCGTAATATGCCACTGTAATGAGACCATCAGTGACAAATTAGTTAATGAGTCCTATCAGTTCTAAGAATGTTGAAGAGGAATCACTGGAAAAGAAGCCACGAAATGCCCTGAGAAGTTACAACTCATATATCTAAAGAAGTTAATAGACACTTTTCCCAAATCTGAAAACCCTAAAAAAAATTATATGACATTACTGGTGAATAATGTGAGACTGAAAAATTTATCTGAATATTTTCTTGAAATCAAATTTTTAGTCATTACATGGAAAGACTGAATTATCTCTTTAGCCTCTCTAGAGAAAATGGTATTACAGAATCACTGTACTACCATTACAGTGAGAGCATGGTGCTAAAAAGTGTATTAAAGTATGTCAGGAAGCTAACTGATAATAACATAGCATTTTTCTTGTTTCTGATATTTCGAATTCTGAATTTTGATCTTTTCCTGGGCAGTACTCAAGATGAAGTATGATCCTCTCTTACAAGATTGGGTGGCATCAGTGAGCCACAGCTCCAGCCTGCCCTGGGTGGTGAGGATGAACAAGCATTCTTCTACAGTGTAAATGAAATACATGAATTCTGATCAATTCCGTTTTCTGTGATTCCCATAAAACACATGCACACTCATGACCAGGGATGTAGCTCAAGTGGTAGAGCCCTTGTCTAGCAAGGAGCCCTGGGTTAAACCCCTTATTCTGCCAAAAAAAAAAGCTTATTTATGAAAAGCATGCACATTTGTAATTTACAATTGCACCAGCTCCACTGTCAATGTGGAACACAAAGGTGAGAGCTTCCTTTTATTTTGTTAAATTTTCATGAGAATGGAACCCTCCATTTTTGCATAGCTAATGACTGGAACACTGTCCCATCAGCTTGCTTCATCTCCACCAGTTTCATAGTCACTACTGGCTTCCTTCTGGTGCCGGCACTGCGGGACACATTCATGTCTCGGTAACCTCTGACCACACACCTTCACATCACCATGCTAAGTGAGCTGGGTGTCTTAGGAGTGTTGTGTTAGTAAGAGTGACAAAATACCTGAGAAAAGCAACTTAGAAGGAATAAAATTTGGCTCATGGTTTTAGAATTGTCAGTCCATAGTCAGTCCATTGTTCCTGGCTGTGGTGAGGCAGAACATCATGGTGGAAGGGCATGGAGGAGCAAAGTTGCACACCTCATAGAAGCCGAGAAGCAAAGGGAGACAGAGAGAGGGAACCAGAGCAAGATGTAGCCCCAAGGACATGACCCACTGATCTACTTCCTCCAGCCAGGTCCCACCAACTAAAGTTTCCAGCATACCTCAAAATAATGCCACCAGCTGTGGACCAAGCATCCAACACATAAAGTTTTATAGTCAAACCAAAACAGTCCTGAAGGCTTTCATACACCTGTCCCAAGAATGACAATGCTACTCCCAAGCAAAATGCAAACTCCACAAATACCAACTCAACTCTCCTTCATTCTTTCCCAAAAATGCGCTGACCCTCCTCAATCCCCACCGTGCCACTTGACAGGGGAGGAGATATGTTGGAGGGAAAGTTGAACTGGAAAGAGGCAATGGTCTTGACCAGTCGCAGGTAAAATATCTTTTACAAATTTTAAAGAAGTTTGACCTTGTAAACGCAGTGCTATGATCCCTCCCAGAGCCTCTGAAGCAGTTTAGATGATGGACAACCTGAACCTCACACTTCATCAACTTCCCACCCAACCGGTCTCAGTGTCTGTCTCAGGATGTCTCCAGGATTCTCCCCCCTTTCATTCCATTCTCCCACCCTCTTCCATCTAGATTCCAGGAACAGCTCTGGGATAGGCCTTCCTTCTGCTTTCAGGGCCTCCGGCCCATCTAAAAGGCAAAATTGTCATCAACTCCTTCCTGTGGCTCCCCTTTGCCACCAGAATGTAGCATAGCAACTCTTCTTGGTTCCCAAGGCCTTGGGAATCTCCCTGATCTCTCACACCCTCCACTCACCTTACCCCTTGTGCTCATGAAGAATAGTCTGCTCAGGACCTTCTGGATCAGAGATGTCTCTACTCTCTCTGGCTTCTGTCTTTCTCTTCTTTTCTTCATACCTTCCCAGCTCTGACTCTGTTGGCTTCATGAACATCTACTCTTTCAAGATGTGTAACCAGAGTTCTAGGCCCAACTCCAGGGGTTCCACATGCCAGGTCTAGCCATCCCCCTGCCACACACACAGCAATATGCCAAAATGAAGAGACAAGTAGTGGTGAAGGGCAGAAAAGGAACCACGGGAAGAGGCAAAGTAAGCCTGTCTTTGGGGTAGAGACATGAGCCTTGGGTTTAAATAAAGAAAAAATTGGGCAAAAGGTATGTATAATTATTAAACAGACCTGTCCAAAGTGTGGCCTGGCTGACCATTATTGAGGGCTTCCGAGAAGTTATCACTATCAGCAGTCTGGACAGGATAAGGAAGTCATTGTTGTTTGACAGGTTTTCTGTCCTAATGAGGCACTGCTCTTCCTTTCCCTGGGGCAGTTTCTTCTGTCCCTCCTTATAAAGATGTTATCAATCAGTCTTGTCTTTCCTGGATTCCAAGGAGATTATAGGGGAGAGAGACTCAGAGCAAAGACACAGATGCAAAATGGAGAGCGATGTTGATGTCGATTTTTTATCCTGCTTTCAGTTAATGCATAGCCCCAAGCAAGGAGGTAGTGCTTCTCAGCAAAAGCAATTCCTGAGTACCTGTTATAGAAGAACTTAGGTAACTTTTCCTCCAGAAAGGTTTTCCTTGACCATCAGGTAGAATTAATTGCATATTCAATTCTAGTTCTTTACAAAGTTTTAAATTTTTCATTAATAAGAAACATATACCTTTGTAGTCCCATTGTAAAGGTGGGGTTTTGACCCTTATAGATAAACTGAGAATGATTGTCACTCCTAATTAGTGCAATGTGTAACTTTCTGGATTTTATATATGCCATTTACACATCTATCGCCTCCTGCTAGGCTACAACCCCATGAGGCCAAAGGCACTGTGGCCCCAATCTCAGCCCAGTGCTGAGCTGAAGAAATGAGGGTATTGAGCACAGAGGTTAAGGAACTCGCCCGGATTAAAGGGGTGGAGTTGGGATTTAAAGATCTCATTGACTGGCAATTAACAAATAGTCATATTGCATCAAATAACATTTGGATCATAGATTATCTCCAAATAGAATAGAGCTGTGTATCTACATTTAAAAAATCTTTGATGTAATTTTAATAGGAACTCCATTAAACATGTACAGTCACACACTGCTTAATGACATTTTGGTCAACAGACTACACATAAGATTATAATGCTGCCATAAGATTATAATGGAGCCAAAAAACTCCCATCACCTAGTGACATTGTAGCCATGAAAATGTAGCACCTGAAAGGCCAGAGATGGTGGTGCATGCCTGTAATCTCAGCACTTGGAAGTGTAATGTTAGTTATAGGGTTTTGCTCTTCATCAAATTGAGGAAGTTCCTCTCTATTCCTAATTTTATGGGAATTTTATCATGAATCATTGCTAGATTTTTATAAAACACTTCACGCATTAATTGATATGATCATGTGATTCTTTTTCTTCTTTAGCCCATTAATATGGTGAATTACACTGGTTGATTTTCAAATATTGAACCAGCCCTGGACTCCGGGAATAAACTCCACTTGGTCATGGCATATGATTTTTTTAATATATTGCTGAATTCATTTTTCTAATATTTTGTTAAGTTTTGTCTATATTCATAAGGGATATTGGTCTATATTTTCTTTTTTGTATTGATTTTATCAAATTTTGATATCAGACTATTACTAGCTTCATAAAGTGAATTGAGAAGTGTTCCTTCTGCTTTCTGTAAGAGATTCTGTAGAGTTAGAGTATAAATTCTTTAGACACTTGGTAGAATTCTACAATGAAACCTTTTGGGCCAGAGATTTCTTTTGAGACACTTTAAAATTATGAAGTCAATTTCATATTGGGTGAGTCATGATCCTTTGTGTTTTTCAAGGAACCAGTCCATTTCCTTTAAATTGTCAAATCTATGTGAGTATGTTTATAATTTTTGTTTTTTATCCTTTGGTATCTGGAAATTCTGTTTTTTTCTGATATTAGCAATCTGTATCTTGTCATGTTTGCATTCTCAGTCTTGCTAGAGGTTTGCCCATTTTACTGATCTTTTCAAAGAATCGGTTCTGTTTCAGTCATTTCTCCATTATTTTTCTGTTTTCAATTTCATTGATTTCTGCTCTGTATTATTTCCTTCTCCGGGCTTATTTTGCTCTTTTTCTAGGTTCTGGAGATGAAGATTTTAAGACATTTTAGTGCTATGAATTTCTCTCGTGGCACTGCTTTAGCTAAGTCACACATAATTCAATATACTGTGTTTTCATTTCCATTCAGTTCAAGGTTTGTGTGGTTTTTAAATTTCCTTTGGAACTCCCCATTTGACCTATGTATTGTTTAGAAGAGCGCTTAGTCTAAGTGTTTGGAGATTTTTCTGTTATTGATTTATAGTTTGATTCCATTGTGATCAGAAAATACATTTAGTACAATTTTAGCGCTTTTAAACCTGATGAGGTTTGTTTCATGGTTCAGGTCATAGGCTATCTTGGCATACGTTCATTCCATAGACACTAGAAATGAGTGTGTAGTCATCTGTTGGGTACAGTGTTCTATAAACACCTACTTAATCCCCATAGTCAATGTTATTTTGGGTATTACGTCCTTGCTGACTTTTTGTCTAGTGGTTCTATCAATCATTGTCAGATAGGATCACTTTTTCTGTCCAGTAAGTGTAAAATGTTTTCCAGCTGTGGTCTTTGCATTTCCCTGAATTCTAGTGAGCTTGGTCATCAAGTTAAATGTTTTCTTTCCTCTAATTATACTTTTTAAAACATGTAGCTGATACTTTACCAGTTATTCAGATCTAATGCATTTTTTCTTACTTCGGTTTTTGTTCTTGTTGTCACATGTGTGGTGACCTTGGCTGATACATCTAAATAGATGGGTAATGCTTGTGTGTCTCCATCTGCACAGTGCCACAAGCAACTAGACACATTTATGGGTCAAAAACCTGGAATTACCCTTCATTTTCAGACAAATACAATTTAATCTTAAACTGACATTGAAGGCCTATGTGGTGTACTTCTGATTCACCCAACCCATCTACATCAACGCATCACTATTACCCAGTTAGCTGGTCTCTCTGTCTCCACACTTTGGGCCATGCCACTCCTATCACCTGCAATTCTCTTTGTTAACAAAAATCCTAAATATGCTTTAAATGTGGCTCAAATGTTCTCTCCAAGGAGACTTTCTTGATCATCTCACCTGAATGTGATTGTCCTTCACTCCTAACAAGCAGCTGCATATGGCGGCCACCTGCTTGCTCTCATAATGCACACAGCTGGAAGATGGCTGGGTGGCCTCGCCTTAGTGATTCAGACCAGGGTCATCTTCTTGTTTCTTTATATCTTGCTATGGTTTGGATATTGAAATGTTTCCAAAAGTCCATGTGCTGGTCCAAGGCTTGTCCCCTGGGTGGCACTATTGGGAGGTAGTAAAACCTTTAAAATGTGCAGCTCTTTGGGAGGTCTTTAGATCATTGGGGATGGGCCTTTGAAGGGGACTGTGGGACCCTGGCCTCCTCTTCTTGCTGGCTTATCAACTGGCTGTGATGGAAGTGGCTTTGCACTGCTGTTTGTCCCCACCATGGTGTGCTGCCTTTCTCACCATAGGCCCAAAACAATGAATAAGTCCACCTAATTATGGACTGAAATCTCGAAAACCATGAGCCACAAGAACCTTCTTCTCATTGTAAGTTAATTATCTCAGGTATTTTGTTGCAGTGATGGGAAACTGACACATATCTATTTCTTTTTTGGCATGTAGAAAAGTGCTTCTCCTTTGCTAATATTCTAGCTCATATAGCAAATATTGTTAAAAATCTAACTCAAATGATTATATCTACCCAACATGATGCATTAGAGAAATTGACAATTTTTTAGCAGATATATCACCAACATATTAAAAGGACAAATTATTCAGAATACTGATAAACACATGCTATGAAGTGATTTTCTTATACATGTTATTTGGACGTGGAAGATAAACTATCCTATCAATTGCAAAACAACTGAAAATACATATATTAAAAATCTGAGGACTGGGGATATCACTCAGTGCTAGAGTGCTTGCCTGCACTCATGAGGCCCTGGGTTCAATCCCCAGCACTGCCAAGAAAAGAAAAAAAAGAAACAAAAATGAAAATGTGAATTGTTTTATTGTGAATGGAAGTGGGCTACACTCCAATGAATTTTGAACCTTTGCATCTTCAAGCTAGCTAGCTGATGGTGGATTTGCAAGTAATTATTTAGTTAATAGTTTCTAGAGGACAGTAGAATATGAAAGAACTTTGAAGGACTAAGTTTAGATAATGCCCTTGTAGCATTTCTACAGTAAGAGGTTCCAGACGAGTTTCATACAATATATTTCCATAAAAGTAGTTCTGAGTTTTTCTGTCTCCCATGGACACAATTTCATATACCAGGTAATCCCAGTCTTTATTAAAAACGAACTATAAAATTTTAAGTCACAGAAAACTAGGGATTTATTAAAAAAATTCTTAGCTTACTATAAAATGAAACACATTTATTATAGAAAATTATAAACTACAAAATAGCCAAATGATAATTCTAGATCATTAATAAGAAATCATTGTATATTCAGTTACTAAATCATTAAAATATATTGTTACCACCCATAATCTCCTTTCCCAAGACAATTACTGAGAATACAGAAAGACCTGGGAGAGATTGTTCTAGATTCTTCTTTTTGGTTTGTATTTAGCCCAGACTATACCTGAAGTTTCATTTTGTTTTTGAAGACTCTCAACTGCTTCATTTTCTGGGTCTCAATAATGCTGAAGGCTGGCAGTTTCTTGTGTTTATTTTTGGTTGCACATGCTGTTCTTCAAACCTATTTCCTCTTCTTCTCTCTTGGCAAAGGCAGAGAAACCATGACTTCTCTTCTCTGCCTAAGATTCTTCCACAGAACCAAGCCACTGCATCCTAACTCACTCTTCCCTGGGTGAATCAGCTAAGTGTCCACCCTAGGCACTTGT